ATCTGGCAAAATCAGTGGGGTGTTGAATGTCTCAGGGGGGAAATTGGGAAGCACTTTAGGGGGAGAGGTGAAAATGGAGATGAGCAAATTTATCCCCCCCACTGACTTCAGAGGGTTCACATCAAGGACTGATTAGGCCTACTGTGTTTACTTTTTGTTAGATTTTTTTCTCTTGCTCATCTTCTTTTTCTTTTGTTACTTTTTTCCACAATTTCTCCTGAATACATTGATTCAAAAAGCAACGTATGGGTCCATGTTGTGGCTTTCAAAGTTCAAAATTTGGCAGAACAGGTTTATCTTTGCCTGCTGTAGAAGCACGAAGACCCACAATCAAACCCTAAAGTGCAGTCACATCATTAGACACAATCACTGACTCCAAATTAAAAACCAGAAACAGTCACCCTTTTCAATTAATTTATTCCTGGATTTAACAGGATAATTACCATATGCATTTTCTTGAGTCATTTTCTAGTATTAAATATTGTTGTTTTTTAAAAGATATATCATTTGTACATTCTATTGTGGGGTTTTTTGTTTTTAAATACTGGTGCATTGGCAATACAATGTAAAATGCAGACTTAAATGTGTGAAGAAAATTTTGTTGCACATTGTCTTTATTACAGAATCTTAAATAGGAAATAATTGTGATGATGAATTGAGATAACTTCAGCCTAATGAAGGAATTGTAATTGGCTGTGTTTTGAATTCTAGCAAGGCAATAATATCTGCTGGGTTTCAACATCAGTGTGTAAGCACTTGTGATGCTTTATTTATGACTGCTCCTGGCAAGGTTGTTATATTATTCTCCAAGGCAACTCTTAATGAAAATTCTGTCAGCAATCAGATGAAAATCTAAAAATATTTAAGTGGGGGAAGGTTTTTCACCTTCTAGACATTATCAGTAAGAAAAGATGCCTGGAGTTTCATACTGCATCTTTATTAAGCCTTTTACATTGTTGCATGCTCCGTGAATTGTTGCCACTGTGCAAAAATATACAAGCTCCCTATATTTTAGATTCGCAAATATTTTCCATTGTCTGTTTTTTCCATATTTGTCTTTTTAGGTGAACATTTTCAAAAAAGCTCTTACCTAAACCATTTTAATTAGTTAGTTTTAACAAAGCCAAATTAGGAAAAGAGTTGGTTCAGCCTATAAAAATGTTTAATCTACAGCATAAAAACAGATTATTTTGAATGTCATGCCAAATTTTCAGAAGTGTCCATTAATTTTGGAAGCATTCACTTTGTGTGCTCAGTTGTCAAGATCTAGGTGTCACTCAGAAAGGCTGAACAACCACAACATTGAATTAATTTGCAGTTGGGAATGCTCAGCACATTCAGAAAATCCGGCCCCAGGTGTCTCAAGCTGGGCCACCAAAAATTGAGAGAGCCAAAATGAATGGACATTTTATGACCTTTAATTTCTGTGATGCTGTGGTGCTTTATATATAATGTTTATAAAACACTTTAAGATCCTCCGATTGAAGGCACTATAGAAAGGAAAAATATTAGTAAAATCTACCTGAAGATCACACTTATTGCATATTTTGCTGCTTCAATAAAATATGCAAAAAAGAATTTTCCTTCATGTTTGACAATGAAGTGCTCCTTTTAAAACCAAACCAATCCAGTCATTTCTTTTATTGGATGTAACAGTGAATGATCCTACTGTAATAAAACACACAGAATCTAATTCCAATGCTCATTACACTGTTGTGTATATATTATAATCCAATATGTTTTTGGGTCACTCGGTGATTTCTTTAACCATTTATTTGTTTAGGGAATTACTATGTTAAATTAACCAACTTCTGTTGGTGGAAGGAACATGCTTTCAAGCTTCAGAGATCTCCTCTTCTTCAGGGATGGAGAAGAAAACCTGAGTGTCCAAGCTAAAAACAAGGTGGGACAGATGGTTAAGCATAAGGGATTTATATATGTTGTACAAGACCACTTAATTCCCCCCCCCCCATTATAAATGGAGGGGTAATAGGCAGCAGGGTGTGTTACAAATTGTTGTAATGCGCCACAAAACCAGTGCCTCTGTTAAGTCCATGGCTTTTAGTGTCCAGCTGAGTTATGAATTTAAGTTCTGGGCTCATCTATTGAAATTGTTGTGCAGGTTTCCTTTGGGATCGGATATAGAAGGATCACTTTTTGAAAAGTGTTCACCCATTGATAAAAGGGTGTTTTTTGTTTATCATTTTTTCTGTGAGAGTTCATTCGAGAACGTAGCAATTGTCTGGTTTTACCTACATAGTTGTTGGGGCATTTGATGCACTGGATGAGGTACATCACATGTTGTGATAGGCATTTGTAGGAGACACCGATCTTGAAATATGTGTGGTGGGGAGGAAAAAAGAGACTTCAGGCTGAATTTTCAGGCCTCTGACTTTTTTGGTTGAGGCAATCTAACAGACCGCAATTTTGCATGTGCTAATCCTACATTTGTGTACACAGTTAGAAACCCAGCTGAAAATATGACCTTATGTCCTTAAGGCAGGAAGGAAGTTCCAAACACATGAGGCTGCATAAGTGAAAGTGACCCCTAAATGTGGAGTAATGGAAAAGAGAGAGAGAGAGAAGGCCAAAAGCGGGAACAGCAAAGTAGACAGAGGTATAAATAGATATGGAAGGGGTGAATCCATGAAAGACTAGAAAGTTTTCTAAATCTAACATCGAATACATGTCAAAGTATTGTAAATGTGGTGTTCATAAGTGTGTTTACTGTGTTATACTAATAGAATAAAAACCAGCAGGATCTTATTAAGAGGGATAAGGCAAAGATGCCACATTTATTGTAAATATACTGATAAAGCAAAAGATAAAAGTAAACAACGTTGTTTGACTACTTATTTCTTATATAAACACACACACACACACATATATATATATATATTCATTCACACAATCATTCATTCAGGTTCTGTATAGGTGTTATAGTTACCAGTCTAGAAGTTGCTCATGCCAAGTTACTGGCCAGGTATCTTGGTCATGAGGATGGAGTCGAGTCTGTGTCAGGTGCACCTGATGCTCCTGGAGGTTGGCAGCAGAATCAGAGACTCAAAGTCATCAGTCTTTAGAGTCCATTCTTAAAGGAATTAATTCCTATGTTAGTCTATGGGAACTGTTTCATCCTGCTGTTGCTGACTCAATCAGCAGATGGCACATTCCTGTCCAAAGTGGCACATTCCTGGTGGCTCCACACTGTCCAAAGTTTGTGTTTCTCATCCTTCCAGGTGATGGGGTGGATCCCAGTTTACCCTCAGAGGGTTGTCTGGTGGTCCTACTCAACACATTCTTCAGCCGATGGATACTCCTTTTCTAGGCTGGCACCTCCCTAACCCTTGATCGACACCAAGCGTTCCTCAGCATACATTCCATATCTTAACC